GGATGATCCATCCACTGCTTCGGGTCTTTTGGAAATGGTGAGAATCTTCGTCTCCCTCTATTTTTTTTCTCTTTCGGCACTGCCCATGTGTTCTCTTATTCCTATGTGGCAGTAGCTATCATTACTCATGTCGGACATTATTAGTAATATTCTTATTTAGTAAAGTAAACCAAATTTTTTAGTTCAAAAATTTTCCTTCGAACTAAATTTGTCAAGTTCTGCATTTAACAGAACCACCACAAAATCACTCTTTTTGTAGATTACCGTGCCACATGGTGATATCTTAAGCGTTTAAATTTTTCCATGAGGTGTTGCTTCATTTATTCTATCAAAATATGATCCATTCCAACTCCTCTCTAAGGGTTTTCAGTTTTCCTCCAATTCTTTTCTGGCTTACAGTTGTTTCACCCAACTCTTTGGGAAACTTTTACATTTCTTCACCCCTTTTTGAGGTGAAACTTACACGCTTTTGTTGTTATTTTAAAGCCAAATCCCAGGACCAAAAACAGCATTTGTGATTCCTTTGAGGAGTCTGGTTTTGCGGATGACGAATGGTTGAGAAGGAGTCATGAACTTCCTACCCAGAAGACGAACAATTCCCTATTATCCAGCGGCACCAATGATTTTTCCTTTGATGAGGTAATCTCTCCTCCGCCCTTTTCCTCCTCTTCCTGCTTTCCACTTTCTATCACTGGTTTCCGCTCACTTTCGCTTAGAACATAAACAGCTTCGGTGAAGAGACCTAATATCCCCTTAAAATCTCTTCCGAAGATTTTTTATTCATTGTGCTTCAGTGAAGCTTTTTCTTGGTGGAGACAGGAGGGAATTACCTAGCTACCTCTGCTGGTTTAGGAAGATCTCTTCCCTGGTAAAATTTTTGAGACCAAGTTGAGCTGTCAAGAAGTTGTCGAGGCGAATCCAAGTCAACGTTTTTACCGCCTCCTCAATGCTTGAGATGGTTGACACTCCAAGGAGATCATTCCGAATGTATTTTACTGGAATATCGGAGACCTGGGGGCGGAAAAAGAAGCCTCCGTGTGAATTTTTTTCGCAGTTAAAGGGAAACAACTTTTAATTCCAATGATTGTTCTGCTTTAATTTGGGTTGTAGATCAAAGGTGGTCGTGTGAACTGGGGCCCACTTGTAGAGCGTCCAGAGAGTCCGCATTTGTCTGTGATTTCTGAGGCTTCTACAGACGGATCGGTAGGTATTTCTACTTCCTTCACCTCTCTCAAACTTAATTTAGACACTTGAAAAACAGAAATGTATCGATGAGAAACTGCAAAAGTCATCACAGGAGGTTTCTGAAGCGGAGGAACCCGATGTAAGTGGAATTAAGACTACATTAATGGCTGTTTTTTTCCGAACCTGTCTGCGTGAGATATAAAAAATATTCCTGATAAGAGTTCCTCCATCCATCCATGCACACATTCATTAATGCAAGTTGCATTAGTATGTCTCAAATTATCCACTCTTTTTTTTCGTTATTTCTCTCATTCTCTGTAATAAGCATTTATTTACCGACATGGCCTCAAAATGACGGGCAGCTTAGAGCCACACTTGCTTTAATTTTGATTCAAAAGCATAGAATTATAACAGTAGTGTCTATGAAGGATATTCTCCTTTCAGGACTCCAGTGAGTGGAAAACAGTGGCACCCAAGAAGACGAGAAGCCGCAGCAACAGGGCAGCTAAGAAGATGGGCGAAGAAGAGGAGGAAAGAACCGAGGAATTCACTTCCTTTTCGCTTAGAATTCCAACTTTC